ACACGTTTTTTGTAGCTCGAATTCTTTTCTTAAACCCAACACCCCGGCAGCTAAAGTGGTTGCCGATGTGGCCAGCTTCAAGAAACCACATGTTTTGGGCATGGCTGCTTGTTCCCAACGGACATCAAGGTCCTTGTTTGGGCTTCTACTTCTCAGGGCCTGTGGCCCAAACAAGGACCCTGACCAAGTTGACAACAAGACAGAAGGAATCATCATCCTCTGTGGCTTCTTGATTCAACATTTTGAGTCACCCCCAACAGAACTGAAGCCCTTATTTTGGCCTAAACGGTTGGCAGGGTCCAGGCTGAAAAGGAATTGAATAATGCCCCCAATGTCCCCACCCCAACCGCGTTCTACATGGTCATAACCCCGCTGACTGTTGACCCACAAGGTGGAGGTGACCAGGGCGAGAGTTGCCCTGGGCAGAACCAACATATCGCAGCTCTCGTTGAGAAATCTCTCACAACCCTCTCACAAACTATGAGTGCATGTCTGTGGTCAAATCCTGCAGTCAGCTTCCCCACCCTGTCCAGCCCGCGCCTTGAGGTCGGTCGCCTATGGGCTGGGCATTTTTCTCGGCGACTTTGCTTTGGATGCCCAACCCTGTGCTTAAACAAGCAAGCTGTTCGCCCTTTTGAGGGGCAGGGACGTGTTGCAACCAACTTTGCCCAAGCGCAAAGTGAAAAACGTTGCCCAACCAGTCACACGGTCTGAGCTGTGCAAAAAAATCGCCCAACTCGGAGCCCTCACCCACTGACCCCTCGCTACCGCTGCACGCTGCATGCCGCCTGGGCACCAGCTGCGCCCGAAACAGCTCCGCCTGCTCCACCAGCTTCCGCGCCTCTGCCAGGCTGCTGGGCCTGAGGCAAGCTACATCATGGAGGGGGGGGCCAAAGAGGGTGGCTTCCTCGAAAAGAAGAAAGCAAACAAACAAGCAAACAAGCAACAACAAAATCACAAATACAATATATATATATATATATATTTCTTTATTTACTTTTTTATATTATACTTCATAATATATAATATATTATGTTATATCATATTATATTATATTATAGGCTCGGCCTCTGCAAGCGCAGCTGCAGCACAGCTTGCCGCTCCTTGCCAGTGAGTGCCACTGCAGGGGAGCCTTCAGGGATCACGCAAAGCAGGACACATGTCCATACAGGCCTTGCAGAAGCATTCATCCGGGTTTCAGTTCAATCCCAATGATGAGGCAAACAAGCACCGGGTCAGTCATGCGTGAGAATGAATGAGGCCTACCACCATCTTCTTAATCTCTGCAATTTCTTGTGACTGCATGTTGACTGCGTTCTGGATGTGAGAAGGAGCAGGTTGTGACGTCTGAGGTCCGCCCAACTTTGCTTGTGAGTGGAAGTGGCAACGAATCCTGCTCGCCAACTTGCCACCTTCCAGCAAGGAACAGAACGACGCACGTGCCGAGGCAAGCATGAAAAATCATTTTTCCGCTTTTTGCAGGCCTCCTTGCAGAATCCGGTCAAGTTCCAGCATCTTGTGATTCGCATGGTAGAGCCTTGCCCGCAAGCCGCCCAATTGAGCATTGTTTTTGTTAGAGGTTCAGGTCCTATACACTGCTGGGGAGGCTACGCGGGGGGCTTCGCGAGGCCAGAATTTGTGGAAGGGGTGGCTTCGCGAGGCTTCGCGGCAAGACTGTGGCTTCGCGGAGTGGCTTCTGCGAAAGGGGGCGATGAAAGGCGGCAAGAGAGGCATTGAGCTTCAGGACTAGGGGATATGGCTGGGCCTCAAAGGGGCGGAGCATGGAAGTTGGGCCGCGGTGGCTTCGCGGTGGCTTCGCGGAGGCTTTGCGGGGGCTTCGCGGGGGCTTCGCAACGGCTTCGCGAAAACGTTCCATCGTTTCTAGCAAAACTGGGCCTGAAACGCACAGAGCTCTTCCGGTCATCTTTTCGTAATCTTCCTGTAATCTTGTCGTAGCTTGCTGACTCTAAACATCAACCTTAAAAGCACGCAACACGCTCAAACCACGAAGTGGTTTCGCCTGTGTCAATGTTACCGGGCTACGCGAAGCGCCTTCGCGGGGCTTCGCGGTACACAATGCATCACACAAGTGCCTTCGCGGACCTTTTGGGAGTTCCCCACGAAGCTAAAATCCATCATCTGAGAAAAACGCTGCTCAATTGGTGCAACCAGCGGCTGAAAAGAAATGACACAACCACAAAAGACAGTGCCACTCCTGCATGACTACACGTTCTGTTTCGACCCATGCAAGCTGAAATTATGTGGGATTTTGAGTCAGTCTTCCAAGCATGAGGTGGCCGCAAGTGGTTGGGAGAGCAACCCAGGTACCCCCTTCAATTTACTGCAACGCCTCTCCGGTCCAGCGCCGAGTGTCAATTTGGACAACTCCGAGGCCTTTTGCGGGTTCAAGCCATCACCTGGCGAGGCGGGCTTCAAGCGGCTCCGGGTCTTGTAGAAACTGGTGGGCCCAGTTTGCTGGTGTGAAATGGGCCCCGCTGGGCCAAATACATAGAAAAGGTTCTGGATCAATATCGAACGTCTCGCCTTTCCCATCTCTCGCTGCTAGTTCAAGTCCTGTCTTGCTTGTTGCGCCCCACCGCTCAATCCCCGCAACCGAGCCTTCCTCAACCTTCAGCAGGTCTTGGGCGCGGTACAGCCTCTCCGAGATGAAGCCCATGTATTGCTTTGCCTCGCAGGTCCGGAGATGCTGGTTGCCTGCGACTGGCAAAAAGAAAGCCCCACATTGTCCCTTTGCTCGCGTGTCAGCTGTGAAATGCTATGCTAGGCAGGCTGCGTGACCAGTTGGGCCCAGGTGAGGGGGCTGCTCAGCTTACATGTTCTATGGCGACCGCTGAAGTCCCTGAAAAAAGACTATGTCGTGCCACGGCGAGCTTGTTTCTTGTCGCTGGCAATTCCTTCTGCGAGCGTGGCACTTACACTTCCACTCCAAGGCAGGGAAAGGAAACCACCCATTTGGGGATTCCCTCATTTTGGAGACAAACCCATGTTTTGCAAGCCACCCATGGAGTCATCCTATGTTGAGACAGGTTGCTTGTGGGGAACTATGTGTTGGAAGAAAGGGAAGTCAGCAACGACCGGCTTCTCCCTTTTCAGGGCAAACCGTAGCCCAAATCCTTGCCATCTCCTGTGGTTTTCTTTGGTCCCCCCCCCGGCTTTTGGGGTGCGAGGGGCGCAGCGCAAGGTCAGGAAGCAGGTCCGGGCTTCCAGCAGCTCTTCCCAGGCCCAGCTGCGGTGAGCGGCCTTGCCGGAGAAAAGCAGCTCCACCTGGGCAGATTGGGGTCCGATTTGGGTGCTTTTCTTCTTGGAGGGGCACCCCCCCACCACACAAAAGCAACATATTGTAAGGGCGCTCAATTTTTGACACATGCCCATTTACTCCCCGCAGTTCAACATGAACAATCCCCCCACAAATGGAAGA